TGTCCATGAGTTTCACTAGGCAACCTTCTGAAAAGCTGGACAGATAAATCACCACCAAAATGATGTCCACCAACGGGTCCCAAAGTAAAACATGTCCAGATGAGTTTGTTTGCGTGAAGAAGCTGTGGTCGACCTCAAAGACTCCCAGACCGGGGCCCCGGTGTCGATTCCACTCCCAACGGCGAGGTCGCCTCGCCGACGCCTGGCCCGCGGCCCATGAGGCGCGACCAGTATTTGTTGAAGCGCCAAGACGATATCAGTAATAGTTCACCCCTAGTTTACCCCCACCATGTGGTTGAAAAGTACAGAGGCGCCCCTTTGGTTTCAGAACAGGCCACCCCGTGCGTTTTTTTTTTGGGGGCGCTTTTTTGGGCGGTTTTTTTCCGGCGTCCGCGGTGTAGAATTGGCCGGCGAGAAGCGATCGCGTCGCTAACGTACCCGGACAGGTCAGGCAGTGCCTCGAGGACTCCCAGGGCCAGGCGGTCGATTCGCTGGCTCGGGCGTGGGAATTCAATCGGGGAACCGGGTCCCCAAAGCGGTGTCCTCATGCTGCCTTTGAACACCAAAAAGCGGGTTTCCCCCCCAAAGAAAGAAACACAGAAACGACATGGCAGCGGTTTCCTGAACTCCAAAGCGGGGTTCCCCCCCCCCCCCCCCAAAAAAAAAGGGCAAACAAGCTTCGCCTTTGCCAGGGGCTAAGTTGTTGCAGTCGCGGGGTCTTGGGAGCAACCTACTCTTCGTTCACCAATCATGAAGTTGAGCACAGGGTTTTTTCAGAACTGTTCTGTACGGGGAAGCCCCCTGTCCACGTACACGAGTGGGAGGAGGGTATTCACATCTCTACAAGACACCTAGGCAAGTTGGTAAATTGATGAAAGTTGGTAAGGGACAGGCACCATACCATGAACGGGTGCGGCAAAATACAATATGCCCTTGACAAATTCCATGCCACAGGGTTTGGTTAAGCCGTTATGATACCAGGTGTTGATTATGGCTCATCGGAGCTTGAGCGGGCCGAAGGACCTACTCAGCTGGAATACTTGCACCTGACCTGACAGATTCAGGAGACTCATCTTCAAAATCGGAGCTTCGCTTCCAGCATCAGCCGGCAAAATTGGGGTTCCCGATTTTTGGGCAAAGCAAATAGTCACATTGGACAACAACAAGCATCTTACCAAACTGGACCTTGAAAGATCTGCGTGTTGACAGCTAAACGACTTTGCCCGATGAATGATTGTCAATGCCAGCGCTTGGGGTCCAAAGGAGTGGCTTGCTGACACCCCATGCGGTCGAGAAGCATCAAAACGAGGAATCATCATGGGCTTCTTTTTTTTTGTTTAACCATGGTTTGCGATTGGTTAATTGCTTTCTAAGTATCCCAGACCTCCCTGTGGTGCCCTTTCTTCCTTGTTGGAGGTGTTTTCCCTTTAAACACAACTACCAACACACCAGTGTAAGCAAGTGACCTTACATGAGCAGAGCCCGAAGCCGCCGTTCCGTTGGCCATTAGGCGTTTCTACTACCTTGTTTCACGGAGGTTAGGGAAAGCCTTCATGACTACTGGTAGAAGCAAGCCGTCAATAGGTTTTGGGCACCGCTTGGAAAAGAGGGAGATTTCTGGAGAGGAGGGTGTCACTCCATATTGTTTGCGTTGAAACTCCTTTGGGAGCTGATGGCTTATGAGCAAGCACTTGCAATCGGGGTGAGTCCTCCATTTAAAATGGTCTAGGTCCCCCAGTAGTGCCCTTTTACCTTTTTTTGGGGGAGGGTTCCCCTACCAAAATAGACTACAGAAAAAAAGGGGTACCCTTATTCTAACCTCTCGACTGGAGGACATAGTAGTGTTTTCTTTTGTTCGAGGGAAACAAAAAGGGAAACCACTCAATTTGGGGTTGGCGAGAACCCGATATGATCTGTAGGCTATGTCGCAACGTACTTTGTTGCAGTTGCTCAAGACTCAATTGGGTTTGTCTCAATCGGCTTCCTTGTCTCCCTTAAAACTCCAACCATCACACATTCCCGAACAAAAGGACGCGCTCATCTTACGAGGATTCTGGCTTATGGCTCTGGAGGGTATTCTCCATCAAGTTCCTCATTCAACTTGTTCCCCATAATGCTGATGGACGAAGTCGGTCGCATCATGAAATGAAACCATGGTTGAACCACAAGGTTTGTTCGCATTTACGTTGCGGAATCGAATCAGAAGCCAGGGCTTCTGAACGGTGGTGCGAACTGGTCTTTTGTACATCCACAGTATCAAATCTTGCTCATATTATCAAACAAGTGATTGCCATTTGCCATGGCGCTCCATTTAACTCTCGATGCCTCGTTTATGCTGATGTTGCTGTGCTAGGGGTTGCGAGTGACAAGATTCAGAATACAAAGGTAGCCAAACCATCGTGGCAGATCGCAACCGAACTGATTCTCGATCGTCTCTCCTTCACATTAAGAAGCTCAGAAAGGGTACCAAAGAAAAGGAGCTTCTATATAAATCGGTGTTTTGGATTCCGCAGGCGCAGGCGTGTACTCATTTTTCACCAGTCATTTGGCCCTCGATCCAGGTCGCCGCGGAAGAGGCAGGTGCTTGGGAATGTTTGCGGCAGTGGTTGGCATCATCCTTGAGTACTCCCCGATTCACAGGGAACCCAAAACCCGGGGGTTTTGCGGGGGGTCGGTTTCCTCTATCATGGATGGTCTTGGGGTTCCACGTGTATTTGCCGGGGCGCATGTGTGCCAGTTGACAACAGATGCTAGACAATCATGGAGATACTCGTTGGGACAATCAAGACCCTCCATGCCCCTTAGAACGAGTTTAAGCCCTCATACCGGTGTGAATCGCTGTGTGTGTGTGTGTGTGTGTGTGTGTGTGTGTGTGTGTGTGTGTGTGTGTGTGTGTGTGTGTGTGTGTGTGTGTGTGTGTGTGTGTGTGTGTGTGTGTGTGTGTGTGTGTGTGTGTGTGTGTGTGTTTGTGTGTGTGTGTGTGTGTGTGTGTGTGTGTGTGTGTGTGTGTGTGTGTTTGTGTGTGTTTGTGTGTGTTTGTGTGTGTGTGTGTGTGTGTGTGTTTGTGTGTGTGTGTTGTGTGTGTGTGTGTGTGTGTGTGTGTGTGTGTTTGTGTGTGTGTTTGTGTTTGTGTTTGTGTTTGTGTTTGTGTTTGTGTTTGTGTTTGTGTTTGTGTTTGTGTTTGTGTTTGTGTTTGTGTGTGCGTGTGTGTGTGTGGGTGCGTGCGTGCGTGTGGGTGCGTGTGGGCGTGCGGGTGGGTGGGTGGGTGGGTGGGTGGGTGGGTGGGTGGTGTGGGTGCGTGGGTGCGTGGTGCGTGCGTGCGTGCGTGCGTGCGTGCGTGCGTGCGTGCGTGCGTGCGTGCGTGCGTGTGTGTGTGTGTGTGTGTCGTGGGGGCGTGCTGGCCAGAATTCCACTTTTGCTAGCAGCAAATGGAGACTCAAAGGTCACTTTACCTTGTAGACTCCGGTTTCACCATTGCCATTTTTCGACACTGGTAAAGACCGTGTGCACCTGTTCAAAAGCTTCGCTGGGAGGAGAGGGGAGGTTCGTTGTTGATTCGTCCCTTTCTAAGGATGTACTTAGACCCCTTTTGACCCCCCAAAAGCCATCCTCAGACTCAGAAGGTACTTGGACCCTTTGGGTTTAGTGACTCGCTAAAAGATGGGCTGGGAGAGACAGGTCAACTCATGAGTCATCCCCCCCTCTCATGTTGTTCCTGACTTGGTCCCCCAGTACCCTTCTCTACCCGTTTTTTTGGTTGGGAAGGTTCCCCTACTAAAATAGACTACAGACAAAAAGGGTACCCTTATTCTAACCTCTCTGCTGGAGGACTTAGCTGAGGTTTCTTGAAGAAGCTGCTGAGCCATTCTGGGAAGTGGATCCCCAATCAGGTTGCTTTGTTTCAACTACACGGGTCTAAAAGAGGCTTCGGGTTGGCTGCTTAGTTCAACCGGCCTCGGGACAAGCACAAACGCTCGGCCACTTTTCCAACCCATAAAGAAAGCGTTAGCAAAGAGCAAGTTCTCAAGCTCCGGTTGTTTCTTGGATTTCATCCTCTCTTTTTTTTCTCGGGTGCCGCTCAAATTTGGAACTTTGCAACCGGCTTCTCGTCTTGTACCAGGGTGGCATGGCCTGCGCCCTGCCAGGTTTGTCACCTCCCTCGCCGAGATGCACAGCAAGATGCCCCCGTTGCCTGCAGCCATTTGCAGGCCCTGGAATTGACGCCGAAACAGGGCTTCCCAAACTAGGTCCCCCAGCTTTTTGGGGGAGGGTTCCCCTACCAAAATAGACTACAGAAAAAAAGGGGTACCCTTATTCTAACCTCTCTACTGGAGGACCTAGTAAATTCGGAAGCGCCTAGAACGGTCGATTTGTTTCTGGGGTTCCTTTTCGTTAGGTCGGCGCCCGAAATGCCTTCCGTGTTTGGAACACCCACGAGCAAACCGTTTGATACCCTTGACAAAACGATTTGATAGAAGGTCTAGATGCGCCTAGCATGGAAACAAAGAGCAACAACAGAGTAGTGATGCGGAATCTCGGGGTTCTTGGGGGATGTTGGAGCCAAGCCTGCAGACACTCATGTGAGACTTGATATCGTAGTCATAGTGCAGTCGTTGTCTTCAGGGCATCGAGCATAATGCAAGCTGGGCTCCAAGCATTCCAGTTGCCCGGTTATAGGCAGCGAGTTGACGAAGGGCATGAAGAGAGCATCAGGACAAGTGGTAAGCGGGATGGAATACGCCCACCCAGCTGCCAGGGTCCCAGCAAACCCTTTTTCGTGGCCGAGCCAGGCATGTCTAGGTCCCCCAGCCAGGTGCCCTTTCTCACCCGTTTCTTGTTTGGTTGGGAGAGTTCCCCTAAAAGAGGCTACAGAAAAAAGATGGCCCCTTATTCTAACCCCTCAAATCTGGAGGACCTAGATGTAGGTCCAGGTTTCTTTGGACAGCCTCGGCTCAAGTACCTTCTCTGTGCCTCGGTGCTTCGCACTCCTTTAACCAAAGATGCGTGAGCTCGTGCACGTGCAGGCTGGACAGCGCCTTTGATGCTATTTCTGCGTGTCGCAGAGTCTCCCACCAAGTATTACCCTCCCTCCAACAAACATAGCACCTGTGCGAGGGTACCTGGAAGAGCATGTTCCTCTTGTAGGGCCCACAGTCAGGTGAGCCACAATCAAAACCTGGGTAGATGAAGGTTAGTAAAGGACGATCCCAACCATAAATAGCTGCGGCCGCCTTTCTAATTCTTTAAATGGTTCTGGGTTCACCATTTTTGTACCGGTTTTGATTGTGACTCAGGTGCCACGTTAGTGGGAGGGCGGGTATGGAAGCCAAGAGGATCGTTTTCCTCTTGACAAATTGAATGGCGTAGCAGCGGGGCCCCTTCAACCACCCCATCTTCCGTGAAAGCTATTCCAAATGGAGAAGGTCCAGCTGGTTCACACACCTGACTGGTTCCCAAAACTTTGGGGTCTAAAATGGCAAGGGTTTCATTTTGGTTTTGAAATGCTGGGGGTCGATTCCCCCATTTCGAGAAACACTCAAAGGCGACCCCTCAAAAATGGTGTTGTTCAGTTTTGCCCCTGCAAAATCATCCAAACGGAGCAAGATGAAGCCTATTCACAATATCTCCTTCCGCCCTTCCCCCCTATTTTTAGGAGACACCCATCAGGCAGCTGACTTTTCATGAAACAACTCTTTAAGCGGTGGACATAAATCCCCATCCACCAAAGAGCCCCAAATGAAGCTGGTTCATAGCCCTTCCCAAGTTCCTGGACAAGTTGTCACTTTTTGAGGGCTGGACCATTTTGGCAGTACGCCCAAAGTTTGGTGATGTTTGTTGTTTTTTGGTCGCCCCTTCACTCGATCGGAAGTGAGACCCATATTCATATCGCAACGCCTTGGCCCCGATGTCTGAGGTGCGGGAATCAGATTGGCGCCAAGTTCTGGGAAGTGATTGCGGACGAGCACGGCATCGATCCTACAGGCGCTTCGGGCTGTTTTCCCATGGACTGCGAACACCCTGTTGGTTTCGGAAGTTGACGGGGAGACCAAATTGGGGGCCAGAATATTTGACAAACCCCTCTCGTTGAAAATTGGGCACGGGAGCATTGTTCCTTGACCAGATTTCTGCCCTTGCGATCGGGATCGATCGGGTATTTGGAGCACGCACATGTGCACGCTTGTCAGAGGCGGCTTTTGCCAGGTACCTACCATGGCGATTCAGACTTGCAGCTGGAACGGACACCCGGCTTCGTCTCTGTGAGCTTGTTTGTTTTTCAGTTTCAATCCACGTCCCCGCACGTTTATCTCTATCGTTTAAATCCCCTAGCAAGAGAGTAGTTTGGGGTGTTCTCCAAACCGTTTTACATTCTAGGGTAGACTCACAATGATCACCTCAATTGGCAAGTCCTCAAGTGAGTGACCAGCGAGACAAAGGCGTCATCTACACGTTCGCTAACACCTGCATTTGGTTGTGACAGGTTCGAAGTCAAAGTTTCAGCAGTCAACTGATTTATTGCCTTTCGGAGCCGGAAAAATCTCTCAGATGCGGTTGGGCCTTGATTTGGAGAACAAGTAACAGAGTGCTTGGCTTGCTTTGTGTTTTGCACATTGGCTGCGCCAACTCTGCGAACACCCACAGTGGGTTTGGGTGAGAAAATATGGAGTTGTGTTGAATGTGTCTGAACAGTTTGCTTCTTAGGTCCTGTGTTTCGTGTCATTGCTGTTGATTGCACATGCATCGGGGACCACTGCAATATGTGTTTCGCTTGTTGTTGCTGGAAGATTACTTGCACACGGTTGCATGGTATTGCATGATTTTGCATGACGTTGCATGTGCATATTCGTTGCACAGACTACTTTCATGTACACACTAGTACATGCTGCATCTTCCGTGTTTTCATGTGGGTATGGGTCAAAGCCAAACCACCAGGGACCACAGCTTTTAGTCATTGTTTCCATTTACCAGGGTGCCATTTTGGGTACCTATTTTTGACCCACAGCCATGTGCTAGCCTGGCATAAGTTTGCTTGCTCACACCAGCTCGGATGGCAGCTGCCGTCTCAATGGCATTGGCAAGGCCCGCCTCGTGGATCAGCAATGTTCAGCCTCAATCAAGGGGACGTACTGGCAAAAAGTTCGACTTTCTGCGGGTTTAGTTCGCAAAGTCCCAACTTGATTTCAACCAAAAAGTACCCAATATTGGCCTCATCATGATTTTACCATAAAAGTCACCCCCGTTCAGTGGTGGGTTGAAGGGAAACAACCGATTCCATTTTCTGACTTAACCCCCAGAAACCGTGGAAATCATGACACCAGACATACCCTCCAAGACCTAGTGTCACAAAGTTCGTGTTTCTTTTGCTTTCTGAACGATGAGGTTATCCCATGGAATACAGTTTCAGCTTGCGCTCAAGTGAAGCAGCCAGTCAGTCCATCCCCATTTAGCATTAGCGCATGACTGCGGGAACAGATTTTGGCGATCAGCTTTGTGATCCCCCTGGGTTCATGCCCAAAACCTGGAAGGGTCAGTCCTTATCTTGGCAGTTCCCAGCCGTCCCAGTAGGTTTTTAGTTTTTTGGTGTTCAGTGGTTGGGTTTCCGCTTCTTCAATTTATCTAGGGGTTGATTCCCCATTCTTTTCAACCATCGTTCTTTTCGAAAGCCGGCTGTTTCGCCCGGTGTTTTGATGGTTCCCTGAAAAGAAGGATTCCTGGAAAGAATGGGGAAGGTACCCTAGACTCTACTCAAAGTTCGCAGGCTTAGCGATCCGAGAATGGACAGCCCAGTTGCTTTCTCGGCAGGGCATGAGGAACTCACCCCCATAAACCATCCCACTGGTGGCTTCCATTCCTTTCTGGGGGCCAAAGCAACTGGGCTCCTTCCCAAAACCCCGGAATGGAAAGCAAATAGCTTATCTTGCTGGTTCTCAGCAGGGAATGAGGGAATGAAACCAACCATCGCTTGTGGTTTCCTTTAAGAGGACCCCTGGGTTAACCCCAGAAGGGTCCATCCTTTTTCGAGCACCAGTCCGCCAGAGCCCCAGTCGCCCCATCGCTTCTTTTCCCCAATCTGAGGGTTTTTGTATTGCACCCTAGGATTACACCCTTGGGAAATGACCTAGAATGGTTCAAAAGAACACGGTTTTATCCGGACATGTGCCTAAATGGGGTCAATACCCAGTGGGTGTATTCCCAGGGTGTAATACAAAAAACCTTAGACCCTTCCAAACTAAACTGGATTCTATACGACCAAAGCTCCTCTGCGCGTCGGTGCCCTCCCGAAACCGGAAAGAATGGGATCCCCCAAGTAATGGGATCCCCACCAAAAAAACAAAGGCCAGCCATGGTTCAGATTGTGAAGTCTGAACAGGCTACATGCTCCCCAGACCCAAGGATCAACGTCTACTTCAACGAGGCCACCGGCGGCCGCTACGTGCCCCGCGCCGTGCTCATGGACCTCGAGCCTTCGGCGGGAGATTCCAGGGGGCTCCAAGTCCTCAGCCAAAAGAAGAGAGAGCAAGGAACGCGAAGGACACAATGCAATGCACAGAACAAATGAATTGGGGTTGAGAATAGCGACTTGTCATTGTCTGTTTGGTTGCGTGCATTTGTGTCCGGGTGTGTTTGTGTATGAGGGGGCCCTTTTTGGGGTGCAAGGGGACCTCCGAAATGACACATAGGCAAATATTTGTGTGGATGTGTTTTCTCGGGGAAGTTCCTCACTGTTGGCTGGTTTTAGAATGGAATACAGCAAACCTGCCATTTCTGGGGTCGTCTTATTTTGAGGCACGTCGATTTGCAGTCCATGTGTAGATTGCCATGTATACAGACAACATGGTCTGAACACTGCTCAATGCACTGCTGCAGTCTATCCGTTGCATGTATACAGACCCATTGGTTGCAGACAACATAGCTTGGTCAGACGTGTTTCAACCCCAAGTTCCTCAGGAACCTGGGACCATGGACAGCGTCCGCGCCGGGCCCTTTGGTCAGCTCTTCCGGCCTGACAACTTCGTGTTCGGGCAGACTGGCGCTGGAAACAACTGGGCCACTTGGCGTGGCTTTTCTCGAAGGTTCGAGTTCTGAGGCTTTGTACCCTCCCACTAACTAGCATGGAAGTGCACCAAGCCCCTTTCCATGAGGAATGTATAGTCTTTCTACAGCGGTCTTTTTTTCACGTCCATGTTAGTCGGTGGGAGGGTATCTTTTCCAGTTTGATAGTTTGCAGGCATCAATGACATGTTCCCGCTAAAGCTTCGAGATATCAACGAAGCTCTGAGGCCAAGGGGCATTACACGGAAGGAGCAGAATTGATCGACTCGGTGCTCGACGTGGTGCGTTGCTTGGCACAAGACGAGAGCTGTCGTTTGGGATGACTTGAAGCTTTGAGTTTTTTTGACGAGCATTCTGGGCGCAGTTGCGCCAATGGTTTCCCATTTTCTAACCACTTGGTGCTCTAGTTCTTCCCTTCGAAGCTCAGGCGGCAGGTCCTGTGTAGTTCATGAGAGACAAAATCTGACCTGGCTGCGGCCTTTGTCCTCTCCTGTTTCGTGTCTGAGGAAAGGCAAAGGTGAATTCCCTGGGATGACCCGATAAGGTTGGTCGTGCTTGGAGGGCTCTCCCCTATTCCTCTGGTTGAATATCACCTACTTGAGTTCCTCCATGGGCGATGTTTCAAGGGGCGTGGGGGGAACCCTGCAGTACTCCACCCCCCCGGCAACCAACCCAATCCACAACCAAGCCCAAACCCAAACCAACCAATTTCAATCCACCCGCTCCGCCGAAGTTGGCGTTACTATTTGCCAGAATAGGCTTGCATAGTCTTACCTTCGTTTCCAGTTTTGTATATAGAATGGACTTAGACCTTCTGTCAATGTTGATGATAATCAACCCCTGTTCATTCATAGGGGGGTGTGTCCCTCCAAAAGTGGTCTGATTCCCCACATTTCACCCAGGGAGAAGCACCCCCCCCTAGTAATGAACCGGTTGGTTGACTAATATGGGTGTGGGTCAAAATTATCCCACCAGGACTCGGACCACGGGTTTTCGTCCTTGTTTCCACATACCATGGCAGAGGTTCCAGAATTGGGGTCGCCCTATATATATATATATATGTATGTTTTGACCACAGCCATACCGGGGCAAGCTCCACTTTGGGGTTACCCCCAATTTTTGATGACCACCGCAGCCAGGGTCGAGAGAAGTCGTCGTCCTTCCATTTACCAGGGCTTCCGCCATCTGAACTCGACCATGCTCCATCCATCTCCGTGAGAAGTCGTCGTCGTTGGAACCTGGAGTCTCCACGACCCTTAAAAAATGGGTACCTGGCCCTTTTATTTTGGGTAATGACCAACCATTTTTAAGGGTCATAAAAAAAACTCTAGGAAGTCGTTTTTTGGCTGAGGCAAGGAGGCCGAGGGCTGCGACTGCCTGCAGGGCTTCCAGCTCTGCCATTCCCTGGGTGGCGGCACCGGGGCGGGCATGGGCACCTTGCTGATCTCCAAGGTCCGCGAGGAGCAGGGTTGTGGGATCAAGGGGTTTATCCCCACTTCTGTGATACAAGGGAATCCCCTTTTTATATGGGGTGGTTAGTCTTTGGGAGGCTCTTTTTGTTGTGTTGGAGGGACGAGTGTCAAGAGCCAAAACGGTGAAACGCGAGAACCGTTGCGAAAGGTCCGACTTGTTGAGAGCCAAAACGGTTCCAGATTGTTGCGGGCTTTTTGGCGCTCGAAAAATAAGCCTTCCAATCCGGGTCCAGAAGCTTGTAGTGGTTTTTAGTTGGTTGGTTTACTGGGATGTCCATCCGGTGTTGAGATCTTTTTAGTGTCTGGCGGTTGGATTTCCACATCTTGGTCGAAAAAGGTATGCCCTGGAAATTTGTGTGGACGGTATTTCAAGATATTTCAAGGGCGGCAAAAAGGGAATCGCCCAATGTCCCTCTGGGGGCTATCACCTGGGGCACGCCAAGCAGCGGAAAAAAAGGGGCTCCAAACAGCGGAAGCAGCAGAAGGAAGCAAGACAAAACAACAGTAGCAAAATCACGAACAGGATATGTGTATTCTGTATTCGTTCATCAGCTTGTCTACGATTGCGTTTCCATTTTGTGGTTGTAGGGTGGTGGTGGTGGCGGCGGCGGTGGTGGCGTGTTTTGTTGTTGTTTTGTTCTTTTGTCTGTGTTGTTGCGCGTGTTTGCAGGTTTAGACGTTGTATTGGTCGTTTGTCTTTTGCTGTGTTCGTTTGTTGGATGTGGTCGGCGGCCTGGGCGATCTTGCGTTGTTGGCGGCTTTGGCGGGCCTATCCCTGAGGAGTACCCAGACAGTGCCTCGCCTGGAACGAGCTCGTGTCCTTTTCTTCGCCCGTCCACCACTTTGTCCGCGCTGTATTTTATTACTGGGTCCCCCAGTAGTGCCCTTTTATCAACTTTTTTCGGGGAGGGTTCCCCTAAAATAGACTACCGAAAAAAGACGGCTCCCTTATTTTATGTCCTCTCTACTGGAGGACCTAGATGATCAAAGTCACCCCGGTTCAGTGGTGGGCTGAAGGAGAAAACCGATTCCATTTTCTGACTTTGATAACCCCCAGAAACCGTGGACATATTGACACCAGACACTAGATTATTGCTTCTTTTGTCCTGGCTGCACAGCTGGCAACCCAGGAATCATGGAGACTTTCTCTGTGATTCCTTCTCCCAAAGTCTCCGACACCGTGGTGGAGCCCTACAATGCCGTGCTGAGTTTCCATCAGCTGGTGGAGAACTCAGATGAGTCCTTCTTGCTGGACAACGAGGTAGGCGGATGGCTCCGGTTCCATGGAACCTTAAGTTAAGTTCCACAGACCACTCTGAGCTGTCGTTTGGAAGCGCGAGAAGCTGCGCCTTACCACGCCTTTGCCACAACCATCTCAGTCCTGCAACCTTTTCCAGGGTTGGACAAAACGTCTTGAACCGGCGGCAAGAAATCCAAAGACTAGGTGCCCCGGTAGTGCCCTTTTACATCCTTTTTTGGGTGAGAGGGTTCCCGTAATGAATCAGGTAACAACTTATTGTGACCTCTTTACTGGAGGACCTAGAAGAGGTTTAACCCTTTTGAAGCTATGGCTTGGACAGCCCATGACCACTGATCTACTTCTATTATGATTTTCCCTTGTTGGTTTCAAAAGGAATTTATCACTGGACATATTCTCTATTTTGGAACTACAATTGTTTCACTCCTGTTTTTTGGTCAATACCCTTTTTGTTCTGCATTTGGACAGAATTTATCCATGTTTTTTCCAGGGGTCTTCGCCAAACGGAAGGTCAGTCACGAGCCTCGTGCCGTGTCTCTGCAGGCCTTGTACGACATCTGCTTCCGCACCTTGAAGCTGACCACGCCCACCTACGGAGACCTCAACCACCTGGTCTCTGCCGCCATGTCCGGGGTGACTTGCTGCTTGCGCTTCCCAGGACAGGGAGCGCGTTTTTTTTTTTTGTTTGGGGGGGAGCGAAATGGACCACATAATTATCACATATCTTCAGCTTCCATCCTGGTGGAAGCCGAAAAAGGGGATGAACAAGGACAGGCAATTGATTGAAATCGACATAGACCACAAAACTTCAGTTTCCTCCTGATGGAAGGTTCAAGGGGAATTCTTTGGGTGCGAAGTAGACCACATACTGTGGATGGTTGCGAAATCCAATTCGCACCGTTCAGAAGCCTTGGAATGATTCGATTCCCCTGTTACCAAAAAACAATGGGCTCCTTTGGTTTCAACGTTGTGCGAACGGATGTCGTCCACAGTAACTTTAGTTGAGCCTCCTGCCGGAAGCCAAAAAAGGGGATGATGCTGGTCGGATTGTTCCCGTTGAACTGACAGGAAATTCTTTGGGTGCGAAGTAGACCACACAACTTGAGTTTCCTCCTGGAAGGTTCAAGGGGATGAACACATGCTGGTCGGATTTTTCAGAGAAGGCCTCGGCTTAGGACAGCTGAACTGCGACTTGCGCAAGATCGCGGTGAACCTGGTGCCCTTCCCGCGCTTGCACTTCTTCATGACCGGCTTCATGGTGGTTGGGACACATTTTACCATTTTGCTTATCTCACTCCCTGAGTTCATGAACTTTAAACTTTTTGGGGTTTGGACCATTTTAGTGGTAAATAAAAAGTGTGGTTACTTTTTTTTGGCCATCCACTCAGCAAGTGAGTTATTGTTGTTTACTGGAAAATCCCCACTTAACTGCTAAAATCTAACTTTTGCTCCCCTTCCAACGTCAACCAAGGCTTCGCGCCCCTGACGTCGCGCGGATCGCAGCAGTACCGGGCGCTCACAGTGCCAGAGCTGCCACCCGGCCTGGGCATGTGGTGGATATATATATATATATACATATATATATATATGGCCGTGGGTCAAAACCAATGGGATCCCATTTTGGGGTAGGTGCACCACCCATTTTGGTCTATTTGGCTGTGGGTCAAAACCGTGTTGGGATCCCATTTTGGGGTAGGTGAATTCACCGCCCATTTTAGAACCTCTTTCAGTGGGGATTGGGATGTTCACTGGGGGTACGATTTGGATGTTGACCCAAGGCCATATAGCTACCGCGATGTTCCCCTCGTTTGGGGGCAACAATAAAACCCTGAAGCCCGCTTGGAGTAAGATGGGCAACAAGGGGGCAACGGTTTTTTGAAGCACAGTGCGAGCGCTGTATAAGATATCGATTGGTCGAGGCCCCAGGGGGGCTGAATTTCTTAGCGTCCATTTCGTCTTTAAAAGAGCTGGTGTCTACTTCTCTGGAGCCAGGGGGGCTGGATTTAATCTCTTAACCTTGTCTTCGTTTAGGGGAGATAATTCCTGAATTTTTGGCAAAGGGGCCCTTCATCGCCCGAAAAGGCCGCTAAGAAATCCAGCACCTTAATTTCTTAGCAAAGGGCCCTTCATCGCCCGAAGAGGCCGCTAAGAAACCCAGCCCCTGAATTTCTTAGCAAAGGCCCCTTCATCGCCAAAAAGGCCGCTCAGAAATCCAAGGCCCACCGCATGCCAAGGTGAGCTGGTGTGGCGGCACCACGCTCGCACCCCCGAAACCAGAAATCAGAGGTGCAATTCTTGGCGCGCGGAGGTTGTTTTCTTCCTCGCACAAGCTACAAGTTGGCTAAGAAGTTGGACGCAAAATCCCGGAACTTCTTAGCAAATGCACCTGCAACCTTCTTGATTCCTCAATTTCTTGTAATCACAATGATTTCTTCTCCGGTGCTTGCACTGTAAGTTGGGGTTGCTGCAGACTCAGGTGGATACAGGGGTATGTCCTCAAAGTGAAGGGCTTCACATCCCCTGTTAATTTAGCAGGGTTTATCAATCCTGGGTTCCAACTAGGTCGGCAAAGCCGGGAATGGCGTTGCGCGTCAGACACTGTTGAACTCAAGCCCTGAGTTCATGGACTTCAAACTTAAGCTGGAAGACCAGTTTAGGGGTAGAATAGCATTTCAGACGTTTTTGGCCAATTCGCTCAAGTGACTTAAGCGAATTGGCACTTTTGCCACTCAAAGCAAGCTCACTTAGGACGCAGCAGATGTTTGACGCCAAGAACATGATGTGCGCAGCAGACCCTCGCCATGGGCGCTACTTGACCGCCGCAGCCCTCTTCCGCGGCCGAATGTCAACAAAGGAAGTGGATGAGCAGATGCTCAACGTGCAGAACAAGCGCCTTGGGGAGGAATTTGTAATTCTAAGCTTTGATCAACCCATTCTCTTCAGCGTTCTCTTTAGAAACAGCCTATGTTCCAGGATTCTGGCCAGTTTTTGAAGAGAAGGATCCCTGACGAGAATGGGGAGGGTACAGCTAGAGCAATTGGTAATCACGAGGCTGCAGTGGTTGGTACATACGTTGTTCGCATGATATTCAGCAACATGGCTTGCACGGGCATTTTGAACGGTGCACAAAAGCAGTTGCCAGGAACTCGTAGTACTTGAGCTTCCGATAGTTTGTCCCGCGTCTGCGGGGGGTGCAGCGTAGGGCCTGTGTCAGCCTGCTGCTTCCTCAAATCTTCAAGTTGCCAGGAACTCGTCCTACTTTGTGGAGTGGATCCCGAACAACATCAAGGCATCGGTCTGCGACATCCCGCCGAAGGGCTTGAAGATGGCTGTCTCCTTTGCCGGGAATTCCACCGCCATCCAGGAGATCGCTGAAACCGAACCGTTTCCAAAGAGGGAAACCACAAGTGACTCGCTCATGGGCTTCCCAGACAATTTCCTTGGTACCTCCTGAGGATTGCTTTCGGGGGGTCAAAAGGGGTCTAAGTCCTTCCTTAGGTACGTGGACCCTTTGGGCTTTATACGTTTTTGGGGCTGGGCCACTTTAGTGGAAAACAAGAAGTTTGGACTTGTTTGGAACCATCAACTCAGGAAGTGAGATGAGGTGATTGAAATTCTGGCGCTGTAAATCCGTGGTTTAAATCAAGGGCTTGATCCTGCCAGGAGATGTTCAAGAGGGTTGCGGAGTACTTCACCGCCATGTTCCGGCGCAAGGCTTTCCTGCACTGGTACACCGGTGAAGGAATGGACGAGATGGAGTTCACAGAGGCTGAGTCGAACATGAGTCTTGGTTACTCTTTGGCACGACCGCTTACTCACTCCCTCCGCCCCTGGACTTTCTTCTTGTTGGGAGGACAAGTTTAGTGGCCGCGAACAGCTTGTGTTTGGCGACGCGATCGGAGCTGGGTTCAATCCTCGCTAACCAGCAAGAAGTTCAGCTTTTGCTGGCCTAAGACCAACCAAGGAACGACTTGGTCTCCGAGTACCAGCAGTATCAGGATGCCACGGCAGAGGAGGAAGGCGAATTCGACGAAGAGGAGGGCGAATACGATGGCTAGAGTCGCTTTGCGTTTCAGTCACATATTTGCTCAGAGGGGCCCGTGAAACCATCATGGTGTCCCAACTGAGCATGGTGCGCTTTCAAGAGAAACGTCTTGAAGCTCGACGCCAGAATACATCTGAACTGGACGCAAAAGGAGCGATCCAAGCTGAACCCCCAGTAGATTGGGCAACACAGGGAGGTGGAACCATTTGTTTTGCAGTTTTCTCCGGGTTTCAACCTGGATTTTCTCCGGGATTTCCATTCAGAAACGCTGCCTGAATCAGTTCCGGTAGCTTGTGCCTGTAGCTCCTTTCTGGCAGAGCGGCTGGTCAGGTTTCAGTTGGACACTCGATAAACCCACTCGTCTTTCTTGAGGGTACCATGTTGTTGTGGAATCAAAGGGAAACCAAAGGAAAACAACCGTTCTGGGTGCTCCCAAAAAATAATAATAATAATATGTTTGCTGATGTGTGTGTGTGTGTGTGACAAGGAACGATGTATGACAGCGTGGGAGGTTAACCCTAAACAGTGCCTATAAAGAGCCTTAGGTTTGTTGTCAGACGGTTTGGCCCCATTCAATTGATCTGGTTTTCCACTTACTTGTGTGTGTGTGTGTGTGTGGATTGGGGATGGCTTCCCTAGCAATAGATATCGGAATGGGAGATCTCAATATGGGTCTGTCGTTTTTTTTTTTTTTAGGGACGTTGTTCCTTTAAAACCACCAAAAAAGGAGGACCCCTCAACAAAAACAAAAGAAAGAAGAGGCAACAACAAACAACGAAAAACAACAACACCCACGTATGTCATGTGTCTGATTGCATGTTTGTTTTGTTTCTGAATATGTCCGCCTTGCGTTGCAAGACGGCTGCTGGTCAGTAGGACAAGCAGGCTCATTGCTCAGTTGACCTCCTACTGTGGATGCACGAAATCCATTTCGCACCACCTAGGAAACATATCATTCCAGATTCCAGGGTTTCTTGAGTGGTGCAGGATTTCGTCCATCCACAGTAGTGTCTTAACATCACCTTTGCCAAGCTGAATGATGCCTTGAAACCAAAGGGAAACCAAAGAGAAACCAAAGGATCAGCTTTTGAGGGAAACCGCCCAGAGGGGTTCCCCTCCAACCATTGTCTTTGGCCCCTTGTGAAATGTGGCAGCCGAACAACATTTTGCAGGGTTTACTCCACTTCCCGTTTTTTTGGAACCTCCAAAAGTGGCGATCGTTTCTTTTTTGAAACCAGTCAATCCAGTGATTCCCTGTTTAATCCATGCGCCGTATGTTCTTCATCTGGGTTCTCAACACCACAAGTTTCTAGGGGTACCTTCCATTTCCATTCTGAACCCAGGCATAACCGGACTCACCCCCTAAAAAGTTGAGACGTTTTTTTCCGTTTCAGACCAACGCCCGCAGGGGGCCCCTGTCGGCTGGATCTCTTCGGGGCGAGAAGTCCCTTGAGGCGACCGGGACTCTGGACCAGTTCCGACCAGACATCAACGGCTCCCCGAAAAAAGAAGAAGAACTACAGACGCAATCTAGGTCCCCCAGCTAGGTGCCCTTTTTGACCCCTTGTTTGGTTGGGAGGGTTCCCCTAGTAAAATAGACGACAGAAAAAGGTTGGTACCCTTATTCTAGCCTCTCAAATCTGGAGGACCTAGAATAAAGAATGATGGCAACACTGTTGCCAATGAATGCTCTGGAAGAATGGGTCCCACAATCCCCCATTCTTCTACTCGTCCTTCCGCCCAAACATCAACCCACCTAAACACTCAGCATGGGGCATGGGGGATGCATGGGGAGATCTCCATGCACCGCAGTGTAGGGGGGAAAAGCCAAATAATTTGCTTTTTGCTAGCCAGTCCACTTAAGCAAGCGGCCAAACTTATGAAATCCGACCCCCGGAACTATCAAAGGCATTGGCAAAAGTGTCGCCAAGACGGTGTCTGTATTTCTTCTTCTTTCGGGGGGTTCAATCCTTAGCGACCTTATGCCGGATGCTTCGCTTGTGTCTCACTGCAGACTGTCTTTGGTTGGGTTCTCACACGGGTATGGGTCAAAGTGAAACCAGCAGGAATTGAACCGCAGATGTTACTCCTTGTTTCCATATACCCGGGCAACCCATTTTGGGGTTAGCCTAGTTTTGACCCACACCCACCAACATAGGGGGCCACTATTCGAATAGCTTTAAAGGGAAACCCAAAGGAAACTACCTACCTGGAGGGGTCCCCAATTGGGAGAAACTTCCATGTAAGGGTAGACGAAATAGGATTTGCAAGTGAACATTTTCCTCAGTGTTGGGGCAAGCTTGAGAAGAGTGCGCTCTAGGCCCTGTGTCTTGGGCTCGACAAGCGCGCGGTGTGTTTGGTAGAACTGCCCCGATTTGTTTGTGTGTGTGCGTCGTTTGTGGCTTTCACCAGATGTCGCCGCCTTCTTGAGTCACGTGTGCTTGGCATAGCCTTGTCTTTGGGATTTGAAAGAAGCCGCACAACCATTTCTTTGGCATCTGACCTCCAGCGAGCAGTGCCCTACAAGAAAGCCAGAGTTGAGCAGGTCGACACTGCCAGCCCAATTTACTGCCATCTCCTTTGAATGACTTTCCATGTTTACGGTTCACTGAAGATTGACCAGAATCAAGCACCACATTTTGGTGGGACTAAAAGCTCCCCAAGGCTCTTTCAACATGTTCGGTGCATCCGGGTGGGGCCGGCTCTGTCAGCCGATTGGCAACACGTGCGCGACAAATCTGGTTGGGGAGCCGAGGAAGCGAAACCACGTGTGTGTGTGTGTGTGTAGAGAGAGATGGTGAACATGCACAGTAGAAGCACAACAGTGTTTTTGATTGATGTAAATGTACGTATCAACGCGTATTTGGTTGACACAAGCAGGATGCGGTAGGCAGTGTTGTTCTCTAAGCTTGTTGCTTCCTCGCGGTGGAACTAGGGAACCATGCCTTCCTTGCTTGATGCTGCCAGTTCATGTAAACTACGCAGCAGATCAAACTGATCATTGGATTGCTCCTGTGGCTCCCCATTTCACCACAGCGGACCTTTCTCTGCCCCGAACGAGCTACCTCCACTCTCCACTTGACGGCAGATATGCTGACGTTGGATTCCAGTCCGCCGATTTGTCAAGTGTGAGACTTATGGCCTGCGCCGAAACTCAGGAGAATCGGAGGGGTGAGTTCTAAGCGGAAATGCATAGGTGTCCTTTTTGTTTTTTTTTTTAATAGAAAAATAGATGGCGATCTCTGGTCTACCTGGTGGTTTGATCATCTACCAGGGCCATCTATTTTCCCTAAAAGGACCCCTATGCGGAAATGGGTGCGGATATTTGCCCTTGAATTCCTCGCATGGGTTTGGGGTAGATCCGCTTACCAGCTGTTCATCCAATTCATGGTTTCCCTTGACTTGTCGTTTAGTTAAAGCGATTCTGGTTTGTTCGGATTCTTTCACCAAAGGGTGTCCAATTCAACATCTCCGTATTCCCCAAGAACCAGCAAGTCAATCCCCCTCCATGTGCCCTAAGAAGCAGCTTGCTTCATGAGCCATCCCCTTGTAGTTTCCTTGGCAAACGCCAATGGGGTTCAGTCCCAAAACCCCCCATGTACCTAAGAACCAGCAAGTCATGAAGCATCCCCACCCAAAACCCCGTCCGTTGATTCACCGAGACCCCCCAAAGCCCCGCCGTCCACGAAGTCTTCGCGAGGCGCCGTTCCTGCGGCGCCGCTCTGGAGTGCGGTCAATGGACAGCCAGGCACGGCGAACGCGAGCGCGAGCGCCGAGCGCGAGGGAAAGACCCCAGTGGAAGACGTCCGGAGGTTATGTTGACTGTTTTGCTTTTTTGGGCTGGAACATTTTGGTATTTTGGTGGTAGTTCACGGACTTTATGATTACTCTTTGGGGAACCTTCCTTGTGGTAAACAACAAGTGGACTACTTTTTGGGGCTGGAACATGTTGGTATTTTGGTGCCCCCGTTTTTTTGCTTCCGGAGTTCATGTTGGGGCTGGACCATTTTGGTGGTGGCCAAATCCACTCAGGAAGTCAGTTGAGGAAGAGAAAGTCTCCTTGCCACGAAGCAGGAACCCCCTAGAATTCCCCGTTTGGTGGCTCTTAAAAACATAGGGATAAGTTGGTCTTTGGTGTGACCCAACTTTTTGGAAAATGTTAGCTTGTCTAGGTCCCCCAGTAGTGCCCTTTTTAACTCTTTTTGTGGTTGGGAGGGTTCCCATACTAAAATAGACGAAGCAGAAGAAAGATCGGGGACCCTTATTCTAACCTCTCCACTGGAGGACCTGGCTTGTGCATCGGGCAAAAGACCAAGCGACATGAGAAGCATGGAGTTTACATCAACACACACAGTATCCCACAGGTTTCAATGTGGTTCCTTGTTCATTTACCAGCGCTGTCTATTTTGCCAGAAGGAAGCTGGAGTCAAACATGTTACCTTGGCTAGGTCCCCAGTAGTGCCCTTCTCTACCACTGCTTTAGGGACTACAGAAAAAAGTTTGTACCCGTATTCTAACCTCTCTACTGTACTGGAAAACCTAGTTGGAGATATGTGTCCATTGATTGAGGCTCCATGAGACTTTGCCCATCAAAAAATCATCAATGGCTTACCTGCGCATATCCCCAACCGTTCCTTGTCCTTCTTGATTGCTTCGAAAAGCAGCCCCCTTATGGGAAGCCACCCGCTTTGCCTTGATGGTGTGATAGGCAGGGAACGAGACATGGAATGACCGTCCTTTTTAACCATTCAACTGGTGGTTTCCTGTAAGGATATTCTGGGTTCATTCCCACATTCCCTACCTATCGCACCAGCAAGTTGTTGTTGAACATCTCAAGGGCAACCCTATGTGCCAAGGTCTTAGAGAAACAACCGGAGCTGACATTTGACGATTACGGCTGCGCTGATGCACATGAGAAGGGTCTGTTGGTCTCTGCAACAAAGCGTTTTTGCAGGGTAGTCCTTAGATTGCCCCTCAAAATCCATCATTGTCCGAAAGAGTCTCGTTTTTCGGGGTTCCCCCGTTCTGTTAGTGTATGTTGCTTGCGAGTCTTCATGGG